AGTAGGGTTTGAACGAGAGCATACGAGTATTTGTGATTGCAAAGGTTGTATTAGTGCAACGGTTGGGGAGCCCTCAGTTCAAGTCTTTCATGGATTTATGAAAACCAGAAAATTTGTTTGAACTTTTAGAGATGACCAGCTAACACTTTGCAGTGAAAGAGTGCGTGAACCTGCCTTTCTCAAAAGGCAAAAAGTTCTACTGGCAGACGAGTAAGAAAGGATGACGAGTTGAGGGAGAAGATGGTCCCCACCTTAAGCTAGAAAGAGGTCAGTCGGCCTGTAGAGATAGGGAGACAAATTGAAACACAAGAAAACACAACCAATTGAATAATGTCTCAACTGGAGATCGAGGAACATCAAGACCCATGCAGCTAAGGGTCTCCATGACAGAAATGTTGGATGTTATTCAAGACAAGAAATACTTCTGAAAAGCCCCACTGATAAAAACCAAAGCCTTCCTCTAGAGCACTAACAAGTACTGTAAGTATAAAAAAGAACATGATCACAATATAGAGGAGTGCAGACACCTTTAAAGCTTGGTCAAAGGGCTAATACGAGTCGGGAAGCTCAAAGAGTTTGTGGCCTCAAAGCACATACTCGACGGCAAGGGAAGGCACCTGGGATAGATGAATCAGATGGATTTTTCTGATTCATTATTATCCACATTGCGGGGATAGTACCAACAATACTAGGAGGAGATTTGGTCAGAATACCATATCAAAATAGGCCTGATCGAGAGAATATTGTGTCTTTGCTCCATCTCAAGGAGGAATCCCCATACCCTAATCATTTTTATGTACATAGACTTAGCCCTGTGGGGAATCCTTACAATGATGTCATTATCTTTATGAAAGCAATTAACAACTACTAAATGAGTAATATTTTGATTGACACGAGTAGCTCGAGGAACATTTTGTTCAAAGCCGCTTTTGACAAGATGAACTTGTTAACCGAACATTTGGTTACAACAACTGGCCCTCTATATGGTTTTCAACAAAAGGAAGAATGCACTTGAGATAATCAGATTTTCTATTACCTGATGATAAGGGGCAGTCCATTCATTATGGAGGACTTCTTGGTGGTTACTGCACCACCGGCATATAATGCTATATTTGGTCACCCACTTCTCAACAATTTAAGGGTTACGGTGTCTATGTACCACATAGTGGAAAAATTTTCTTGTGATGGGAAAATTGTAACTATGTGTGAGAACCTTGAGCTGTCCTATACATGTTACCTCCGGGAGGTGGGAAGCATAGAACAAGGAGCGTTAGACATACAACACTAGCAAAAGCAGGGTCTTAAAACTGACAAAGGCATCATCAAGATCCCCATAAACCTTGATGACCCTAATAAAGTGTTCTAATCAATGAAACTGTTGATGTAGTTCAGAAAGATTCATTAATCCTGACTCTCCAAGAGCACCACGACATTTTTATAGTCGGTCACTGACATACCAGGCATCATCATTGATGCGGCTTGTCATCGCCTCAATATCAATCCATCCGCTCAGCTTGTGAAACAAAGATTCAGTCATCAGCCATGAATTTGGTTGAGCCAATTCATGAGGAAGTGCAAAAACTCATGGAGATGAACTACATTTGGAAGGTACAATTCCCCTCCTCGGTATCCAACTTAGTCATGGTATAGAAGTTCAATGATAAACAGAGGCTATAAACAAGATCAGCTTATACCCTTTACATAAGTAGGTCTTGGGAGCAAAAGGCAACTGGACAGACTTGCTCCCTTCCGTCCTATGGGCTGTCCAATCACTCCATCATCAGCAACAGGACAAACGCCCTGTATGTTTTCTCATGGGATGGAAGCTATGTTACTGGTTGTGTACAATCACCATAGCCAAAGGGTTGTCACTGTAACTTCTTTTGACAAAGAAAAACTTGCTGACTGGCAAGACACAAATAAAGGAGTTTAGCTCGCCCTCAAACTGCTAGAATAAATTCAAACAAACACAACACATCCATAGGAAGAAATTAAAACAAGAGCCACCCGATACTACAACAAGAATGTCTTGTGATAGATGGCACATACATATTGATAGACAAACACACACACACACACACACACACACATATATATAGATATATATATATATCTAAAGAATGGCCCGAGGCTATGATACGAGCCCTCGACCACTCTCATGTGTCAAAACACTCAATTAAGCACTGCATGGTAGATGCACTTAGGCAGGATCGAACTCATGACCCTAGGGGATATACGTTAGGCTACACTACCAAAGAGTCACGGCGAGCGGCACACACACACACACACACACATGGCTTTAATAAATCCATGAGGAGGATAGATTAATAAGATTTACCATTTTTGGATTTACTAAATCTTACTTGCCCCTGAGAGCCTAATACTTAAAACTAAAGCAAAATAGAATAATTTGACAAAGAAAATAAATAAATAAATTGACAAAATATAGGAAAAAAAGAAAATTACCTCGAAGAAATGCTCGGATACAAGCATTTGCCAAAGTCACGAGGTTGCCTAGGAACCAGTTTAGCCTCGAAAATGCTAATTTTTATCGAGAGCGCACGACAGAGAGTTTTCTCGATCCAAAAGCTATGGGAAACCACATATGAATAAATTATGATCCTCTAACTTCAAAAATGAGTGTTTTTCTCATTCATTAATCTAAGAATCTGTTGCCAACGGGCTTTCTTAACTACGACGCGTGTAATGCGCTCTAAACCCTAATTTTTTCGTAACGCACGTAGGAGGGCTCCGTGACTTTCCTTGACCTCTGAGATGCTCTCAATTGATGCAGAGGTACCCCTAAATAACAGAATAGACATCAAACATGTCCAATATCCCTGGGTGAGTCCACCCAATTGCGGGTTCTCCCAGGTGGGGTCGAATCATTGCAAACTCTTGTTTCATGCTCTAAACACATACCGTAGGTGTCAGATGGGTGGCTTGATTTACGGGATGCTATGGGTGAGTAATGAGTAACCTCGAGCCGGTTAAGTGGATAACCGCACCCGTGATATCAAAAATTGACACCAACAAAAGGATGCCACTATTTTTTACTTTTTAAAAGTGAAATACACATGTAAGTTTTCCTAGAAGAAAATATGAAGGAATAGTATTTGTGCTAATGAAATATATACAAAGAGATATTTGGAGTATTATACATAACAGATGACTGTAGTACCAAACAAAGAGTTAGACTGATTGGCTTGATTTGCTTTCTAAAAAAGTGTTCTTTCTTTCAAATTTTAACATTCTTTACTTGGTAAAATTTTACCCCACTAATTGTCCTATTTAGGATTAATCAAGCTTAATAAAATTAAATAAACAAATGAATCATTGTGTCATGATCATTGAAATAACAAGATATTCTAATTATTCATGTATAATTAAAAAAGAATATATCTTATTAGGTATCATTTAATGAATAGGGTAATAAATTAGACAAAATAGTGATACTAAGGCGTTGAATAGCTGTCATCATTATTTAGGCATACCGAAGATATTAATGAAGATATGTGTAGTAAATAACCTCTATAAAAGGGAACCACTTATTGATAGTTCCTTAAGCATGCCCATTTTAAAGGAGAACCAACTTGAAAAATATTAATAATATGATTCATAATGGCAACCTCCAAGCAATATTGTAATCATACAAAAAAAAAAGTAATTTAAATTAATGCAAAGATCAATATTGTGTTGGGTGAAGCTTCCTCTATAATTCAAATTGAAATCTTCTTTGTTGAACTCTACCTATGGCAGGAGTGGTGGGGGGACCCTTTTGTTTGGCTGTTATGGCCTACATCTTATTCTCCTTGTGACGCGACTATGAGATTTCTCTCTACTTTTTAACTGCATATTAATGTCCTTTCCATTCATCTGTTTTCCATATTGTCCTATCTTTCCACTTTTTCATCCAAGCCAAATCCTTACAAGAAAGCTTGTCTTTAGGTGCATCCCCTGCTTTGGCTGTCATGCATGAGCCCATCACTCTCATAAGACCCACTTAAAGATAAGGCGCAGATCTTGCCTTACCTCAACCTAAATAGTGAAAGGAATTTGAGCCCAGAGGTGACATTAGAGAGAAGCTGTAACTTCTGCCACCATTGTTTTCTTGGCCCCAAACTGTGAAGAAAAATGAAGTTGTGAGATTAAAACCTTGGCAAATGGGCCTTTCTTTTATATCCTTCCATGAAGTTGAATATGAAAGCTGAATAAATCACTAAATAATTGAGTTGGAAGAATTGAACAATGTTCAATGTTACTAAACTGTTTTACTGCATAAGCCATCTGTTCCACAAATTTAATTTGTTGCCAAAACTGCAGGGTTTGCTGTCTTCATTTATTTTCCCTTATTCAGTGTCATTTTTCTTCTACTGTGATAGATCAACACATCCCTTTTCCCACCCAAACTTTTCTTTTTGGAGCATGGTTTAAGAGATGATAACTTTCCACTTATAGGAGAATCATTTTAAGTAGAAGCCCATTCTTTGCCACTTTTATCTGAACTTTTTCTATTGTTTTCCAGTTATTTTTCTGTGGCTCCTGCTGATTCTCTGCAAGATATGCTTATTTATATAAAATGGAGATTTCAAAGCCAAAAAAAGAAAAGAAAAAAAAACAAATTGCATTAATGAATGATCAGCTTTTATTTTTCTTATTCCTATTTGCTTGTCATCTCTTTCCTGGAGGATGCATGCTCTTGCTCTATGTGTTGTCTTACTCTGACACTGAATTATCTTCAGGTTATCAAATGAGAGGATTATATTATATCCTCTCTCTATTGGTTCCATCCTCTGGCTTTTCCTCAACCCTATTATTAGGAGGACAGAAGATAGATTAAACAAAGAAGAACCATATCTTAACCTTGGCAAGTTGCCCCTTAACTTTCTCGATTATGGAACCAGGAGATTAGCTACATATTTATGTGTTGAATCGAGAGCAGGGGAGAGATACAAAAAAGGGGGAAGTGGGGACCTTATCACTGCCTTTTTATTCAATTATACTTCTGTGATCGAGTTGTCCTGATCACCTTAATCAAACATAATTGCATCAGAATGTACCCTCTCTTATTTTTATAATTTCCTTTATTTCTTTTACCAAACTCTATATAAGACTTCACCTTCTCGACACAGCTCATGCACTCCTTCCTCCTTCCCTGCACCCATCCTCTCCACCTTCTCCCCTGTTCTTATGGCGTACCTCTTCTTTCTCATCTAAGGCGTTACATGGAGGCTCAGGAAGTATGGTGCAGCCAAGGATGACTTGCCGACCCCTACAGAAAAATTTGTTCTCAGAAGAAGTTTAGAGGAGTGAGTGGGCAAGTTGTCTTTGGCTACATACTACTTCTTGCTCCCCATGTTACGCTTTCTGATGATAATGTTCCATGTGGTTTTGGTACTGTTCTTCCTGATTATAAACAGACCTCTCTCTTGCCAGTAGATTCCTTAATTCATTTTATTGCATTTTGAGCAAATCTTCAGAGTTTAATGAATAATTATTGACGAAGATGTGCATGATGATCAAGTGGAGTCTTTGATTTTGTTGCAGGCTGTTCAGAAGATAACCACTTGTTAGATGTCCTTTTGGGTTTCCTGTGCTGGCTAAATATGCTGTGATCCCACATTCCTTGCTAGTACCCAATTCTGCCAGTGAAGGGATCCTCACATGTGCTCATGGATTCTCTTTTTTGAGAAAAAGACGAATGAGAAATCAGTTGGTTTAGAGATTTAAAGATTTGGGTAAAATAATCCAAAAATCATGGAATTTTATTTTGTTTTATATATAATATTTAAAAAATTATGTTTTTTTTATATTATTTTGATGACAACTTCATCATTTTTAATTAAGAAGAATACTAAGTGTTGCCATTTACACGTGATAAATCAAATTTAATATAGTGATTAAACTAATATAACTATATCATACGAATCAATGTAATTATACTTTTTTTAGTTTAATGATTATGTTGACATACCATTACATGTTTAATATGATAAAACTTTTATCTTAATTGCTTGAAAATATATAAAATTAATATATTATTATCTTTTAATTTATAGCATATTTGATCTAACATACTCTATCTTTATATGTTTTTTCTAAAATAAATGATCAGTTCATCATCAAAATTAAGAACATAATATTTTTCATTGTTCAAATATCAGTAACTTATGGAGTACTGTACAATTAAGGATTTTCTTAATCCTTGTTTTATGCCAAAAGCTCTTAACTTTCTCCTTGATTCCTGATTCTAAGAAGCTTAGTTTGTTAATCCACAGATTATTAAACTATGTGTGTGCGTGAGCTCAGCGAATAATATCTCCTTTTTTATGGATCCCAATCCCAATTTTGGTTTTGACGTTTACTAATGAACATAATTTAGTTCATAATAAAACCTTTTATAATTCTCTTAGAGTAATTTGTGACATATGCGCGTGGAATATATTAGCTGACAGCCAAAATCAAAACCAAACTATCAAAATATGAATCTGATAACACAATGGTTCCATCTATAATTGAGTTTTCATCTTACATATTTTGACCAAATCTACTCCTAATTAGAAGCTCTTCCGTCCACAAATTTGTATTGAACATATCCTGCAATTGTTGTTTTTAAGCCAAAAGAATCTATCAGAAGGCCACATTCCGCATCTCTGTCCGCAAATGACTATATTTTAGTCAACTAATTTCATTTGTGTTTTGAGTTAGAATAAAGCTAGCAAGTGCTTATCATTTCTTTAATTTTTTCTTGATTTTTTTTTGCAATAGGGTGCGGAAATAAAATATAAAAAACAGCTTTCAGATGCTGTCTATATCATCTAACATGATTGTGGGTAATTTTTTGAGCATTTTGACTTAGCATTCGACAAATGCTTCGTTCATGTGACGTAGCACTTGAAGCATACTGAGATGAAGTTTCACTACTGGTATCTTTTTAAAGTAGTATAATGTTTGAAATTAATGAAAATCACTATTTTAATTATTTAATTTTATTTTTTTAGCTTTCGTTTTGAAGAGTGTGTTATGATGAAAATATTTTTGGGGGGAGTATCAATGATTAATGTGTTGTCTTTATGCTAATTATTGCTTTTGTTTTAAGATATTTTTGTGAATGCTTATTTGATAGGTTTTAAAAGCTAGATCTTTGGCTGTGGAGGTTTGAATAGGCTTTTGCATGATGGATCTTTAAACAGTACAGTTTACTTTTGTCCATTTATTAATAATTTTATACATTTTGAAATTAGGACGTCGTTGTCTGTGCAACCTCAGTTAGACTCATGTATAGTAAATCACTTGTTTATGCCTTCAGAGAAATCAATCGACAATGTTTAGTCTATAACAATATGATTAGTTGCGGTTGCTTAAAAGGATTTTAGGGAGACTCTAAACCGAGATTAGTTTAAGTCGGTTTAATTCAACTTGAATCAATTTTATTTTAATTCAAATTTTAATCGAGCATGCGTGTAATAAAATGTGAGCTCCGATTGGGCTCAACTAGCTCGAACTTTGATTCAATATATTTGCTATTTTATATATGGTATTAATAGTTTTGAAAAAGAGTTTGAGATATTTGATGTTTGTTTTGTAACAATTCACTAATGTTGTGAATTATTTAATTTTTATTTAGCAGTATGTTAATTTGCTTACCAGTTATCAAATTTATTTAATATATTTTTTTATCGGTGTTATCATGAATGAAACTATTCTAATATATCATGTCAATCCCTTTGTTGACTATCAATGCTTGAGACGATTGTGCTAGATGCAAGCTATAGTGTGAACTAGGTGTTTGAAAGAGCGATAATTTGTGTGGATGAAGTAGATTCTATGTCCGGGCCCACTAAGAAGTGTACGTGAAGTAGAGTAGGAAGGATAAGAATTTCTTATGGTGTGGAAAGAGAAACATTTCTTTTTTTTTTTTCTTTGTGGATTTGTAAGGATTTTCCATCCTTGACATTTATTTTTCGTTACCATGGTAAGGTTTTAAGTTGTGGGGGTTGGCGAATTGTTTGTTAGTTGGGAAGTGACTCTTGTGTCGAGATATATGCAACGCACTGCGTGGTTGAAAGGATGTGGAAAGGAATGTATGTGCAAGTAGTGGTTGTGCGTGGGGCTTATATTGAAGATTTACTCTATGCTGATAAACCATAAAAGTAGAGTATCTAACTTTGTTGCCAATTTGACCAATAAGTTCATTGTTAGTTTTGGTGTACCACTGGAGGACCTTGTTCTAGTGTTATGATTGGAATGAGTTGTTATCATTGATTTGTATGGAATAAAGTATAAATCATCAAGGATTATAGATGTTAGCTTACTAAGGATAGTTGTCTTGAAGGCTTGATATGAGGATAGTAGGTTATTAAGTACATATAGAATGATATCCTCCTTGTTGATTGGAGAAGTTATAGTTGTGAATATGTGATATCATCAACTAATACCTTTACTTTGGAGAGATATTGTGACATATATTGATTTCTCTTGGAGATGAAATGGATCTTGTTTTTTATTTGAATGAGATAAGGCCTTTTGGTTGCTTGGAGTCGACAATATTCTAATGTAGCCTAGATTTTGACAACTATGTCCAGATTTAGAATTTATGGCAGATTGGTTGCAGTCAAAGTAGAGTAGATAGTGGTTGCAAGATTTTGGTCTATTTTAGTCTATGAACAAAGTGAGGGATTAAGTGATAGAAGATTTGAGATTCATGAAAAAATTAAGTTTTTAAGCCGAAGAGAAGAGAGATGGGGAAATTAAGGTCATGTGTTAGATACCATATGAAACAAAAAAAAAGGTAATAATGTTACTCAAAGAAAATAAGAGTGTTAGCAATGAGGAGGTATGATACTTTTTCCAACTCGTTGATTGTATATAACATATGTATGTATAACAAAGGCTTTTGCTTGATATGATGTTGTCATTAGAGTCATATAATTATGAGTTGCTAGAATTATTCTAGCTGGTTGAAGATTTATATTTTTGTTGCATTTCATGTGGTTAATGTTTGCTCTAATTGATAAGGGTTGTGGCTTATAGTCATACCCATTGTTATGTTATATAAAAAGAGACATTCACATACATAGCACACAATTCTTATGTATTTACAAATCTCACGCCTATACATCTATAATTGCACACATAGCACTCAAATTGTAATTTCTTATTAAAATGACACCATTATCACTTTTAAAAGTGAAATCAATCTTTTCATGCATAGGTTCAAGATCAAAATTATTTAAAAATTGGATTAAATTAATTTAGATTGAAATCAATAAACAAACCTTAATGTTTGGATGTATTTGAAATATTCTTAGATATACTTGAGCTTGAATTGAGTCTAACTTTCATGAGATTGGATTGAATAATATATCTATGGATGCATGTATTTGTGTATATGCACATGATTTTACACATGCATGTATGCAATAGTTGAAGGCATTTATGCTTGAAAGTATAAAAGTCTTACAAATTAAAATATTGAAGAAAAGCAAAAAAAATTGATCTAACTAATAATAATAATCTCTAAAATTGAGATCAAAGCAGACTAGCTTTTGGATATGCTTTGTCCAAGTTGCAATAAGATAAAACAATTTGGAGCTATACATATCATGATTGGTAGTATAGACCATATTTTTATGGCCTTTTCTTTTGGTGCTATTTTTTATTGAGTTTGTTTCCAAGGTTAATATGCATTCTTGACTTTTGCTTTAGCTATAATAAGGTTGATAATTATGCTCAAATATTGAAATTCATTATTAGCACAGTGATTTAAATTTAAACTTTGATATTTTTTTTGTTGGAATGTCATCATCTTAATTATTTTAGGGGCATTGATTTGTGTACTTTCTCTCGCATACGAAATTATATGGATGTATATGTTCTTTCTAAGTAATATTGATGTTCTGAATATGCTCCCATAGTCTGTTATGTCATCCAGTATCGTCCAGACGAATTTGTCGATGGTTTGGTCAATTTAACTTTGATTTGTGTGTGACGCAATAAATGAAGTCATTTAGTCTGATCAGAGCCATTCAACGAGCAAAATGCCGACTGGTCATCACCTAAATAAGGACCAAAGTCAAGCAGAACACTCACGACGGTGGGTCACTCGTTACACGTCAATGAGTTTCTTTATGATTTCCCCAATCCTATGAGAACTCGACATGAGTTTCAATATATCAGTTTTAATCAACTCAACTAAACATTGAGAATTTGAAACCACACATATGAGATTTCAAGGAGTCACAAAGTTGTTCAAATTTTTATATAGTCCTTTTGGAAAGTCAATTTGGAAGTCCTAAGACTATATCCTGGGCTCTAAAAAGAGTAAGGGAAGACATCATAATACGAGGTCAACAACCAGACAGTGTCGGGTGCCTATGACAACCTCCAGTCTGACTTCATTTTGGTCAAGCGGTCGTTTGTTGGCGCCCCCATGTAAACTGTTCATTTGACTATTTGTTGGGAATTTATCCCAGTACAGATCAGGCGAAAAACTCCGACCAATTATTTTAGGGTCGGGTGATTCACTTCACTCATCTGACCAGACTAGAAAAAGGGTGTTGGATTTATCCATGTGAGTCTTTTGCCGGTAGGTTGATTTCTAAGAATGTGGTTATACTCCATTCGTTTGGGAAACACTTTCCTCCCGGTCTATGGGAGCCGGCCGGCCAAGCATGAGGCATCGAATTGTCCTTGGTGGGCCCCCAAGATGCCACGTCAGTCTTGGATATCATCAAGATTCGTATTGTCACATTTTTTATATACAATATCCTTAATTTTTATTGGTTTCAATAGTTTTACCCAAAAATTTGATAACATTTTTAAAAAATTCAAAAGCTTCATTCAAAATATAAGCTTTACTAAATACTCTTAATTTTTATGACCATTTACATCATACCACACAATTTTTATATATTTACATATTTAACACTTAAATTTTAATTTGTATATCTATATCACTCAAATATTTAATATCATATCAATAATATCACTATTACTAAATTTGTAAAAGTGAAATTCACCTTCCATGTATAAATTTATGACACCGAAGTAATGAATGGAAATATTTAACTTTAGTTGCTAGCCTCTTTAGATAATTAAATACATATGAGGCTTGTGTTGCATTTATGTAAACTTACTTAAAATGTGGGCATTTACATGCATACCACTAAATTTTTATATATTTATATATCTAACACTCAAACTTTTATATTTATATACATAACACTTCAATTTTTAAGTTGATGTTAGATAAGTAAATGAATAAAATTTATGCAGGATGAATGCATGAAAAATATTTTGTCTGAATGTCGTACATTCGAACATCCAATCACTGATGATCATATCATCATACACATCAACAGCCAACGATATACTCATGAATGATTGGCCGTTCAAACGTTTGAAAGTCCCCCCGCCATTCCCTTAAAATTGACGAACCGGCAAATGATCTCTGAAAAATCCTAACATTAGAAAAAAGTGAGCTGTTCACTGAATCGTATCTATGATCTATCTCAATCAGCGGGGAAGTACTCTTGCCTAAACTGCTCGGCCCCACAAATCTATGGCAGAAGCAAAAGGATCGTCCTTGTAGCGGTGGAAGAGATGTGATCAAATGATCGAGTTCTTGTGGTTTTTTTAGGGGCATTTACTAAGCATCAAATGCCTATGCATTTATATACATAATATATAAATATTATATTTTACATTTCTACCATCTACATCTTACATATATATTAAAAATATTATTATTTTACTTAAAAAAAATGTAAATTTTTTCAAGTAAAAATGGCATATATGTAGAAATTAAAATTTACATATATAATGATTTGCGTGTAGATCTTCCTTAATTTATTATTGATTTGTGTTTTAATATTTTTATTTTTATTTTTGGACATTTAATTTACATACATATTACAATTGTTATATATAAATATGATTTCACGGGTGAGCAGATACAGTTCTTATATATTTACGTATCTAATATCTAAACTTTCATATTTACTTACATGTAACAATCAAATTTTTTATATTGAATAAAAAGGCTACTGGCACAACTTTTTTCAAATTGATATACATATTTTTTATGCGTAAATGCTGAGGTGTTAAAAATATAAGGATGAATACCATTCAATTCCTATGTATTTACACTTCTAACCTCAATTTTTACGTACATGTCATCTTAATTTTGCATGAAGTTGTGTTTTTCACTTTTCAAAAGTTAGACGAGTGATATTTTCAATATGATATGAAGGATTTGGGTGGTATAAAAAAATAAAGTTTTGGTGTTCAATATGTATATAGATAGGAATTTGATGGTATTCAATTAGGATATGCAATCAGCCAGGCCGATCCTTATGTACTCATTCTCTGGAAAGCTGAACGCGCTCTCTTTCTTCTGCTTTATCTTCATGACATTCTAGTGACTGGCGATTGTATGGAGGCAATTCAGGGGCTCACAACCAAACCTTCAATCAGTTTCAAATCAAACAATTAAGTAAGGTGCAAATATTCTTAGGCATTGAGGTTTACAGGACCTCACACTCCATGTTATTGAGCTAACTATACTACCTTAACATCATACTTCAAGAGATGACCGTGATACATCATACTTCAAGAGATAACCGTGATGTGGTGCAAACATGTCTTCACTCCTCTCCTATGCAGGAAGATCGATATACTGGATAATACACCGCCCATTAAAAATCCAAAGGCGTATCGAAGAACGGTGGTGCAGTAAAATACCTCACAATTACTTGACCTGATATTTATTTTGTAGCCAACAAGATCTGTCAGCATATGCATCAGCCTACCAATCATCACTACCAACTTCTTAAATGCCTTCTCTGCTATCTACAGAGGACCATTATTTCTGATATCCTCATTACACATGGGGATCTATCTCTTCAAACCTATTCCAATGTTGATTGGTTAGGCAATTCAGTGAACTGGAAATCAACCATAGGTTTCTGTTCCCTCCTCGGTTCAACACCCATCTCATGGACAGTGAAGAAAAAACATTTTTTTGCTCGGTCATCCACATAGGTGGATTATCGTTCCTTGGTCATAGCAGCAGCAGATATTCTATGGCTTCGACGTCTTTTTATGGAGCTCGGAGTTGATCAACCACACCTGATGAAGCTATTTTGTGACAATGTCTCTACTATTGCTTTTGCCAATAATCCTGTCTTCCACTTTGGATCAAATACATCAAAATTGATTATCACTTCATTCGGGATCACCTACAACAAGGTCAACCCGACATCCATTTTATTCCTACACAAAATCAACCGGGAGATATCCTCACTAAAGCGTTTGCTAAGCGGAAGTTCAATTACTTCAATTAAAAGCTTCGAGTCCTTTCCAAGAACCATTACCCTGAAGGGGGATCATAGTCACAACCGAATTATGCAGCATGACCAATTGGTCTGACAACACCACAGTGGATAGTATATTACTTAAAGCCAACCAAGAGCACTTTTGAAAAAAGGTAGAGTTTGCTACAAGAATACTCCACTAAGGCCAATTAATGACCTTGCTTTTACTTTAATGAACTAGGATGACTGCCAATGAAATATTTCCTCATAATCTGCAGATTACAAATGTTATATTTCTTCAGCCAAAGGAGGCCTGCCAATGAAGGGAGAAATATTGTATTTAATATTTTATAATTAATGGTTTCTTTTGTATAAGAGGGGGAGGATTTATTTAGCCTCACAGGATCTACTGAATTGTGTGATATCATGAACTATATGGGATCCTACATCTCAAAATGCAAGTAACAATATGAAATTAGACTAATTCTTCGTATATTTTACCGAATAGAAAAAAAAAATAGTAAAATATTCATGTTGGTGGAATATATTCCTTTAGGAATTTAAATGATTATATTACGTTGTATAACCAAATTTTAGTATCATCCCAAATTAATCTTTCAATTGACAGCCCGAGTAAGCTTGATATGTACAAAAATTAGCTTTAACTATTTATATGTGGTCATTTTAGTTCTCAAATTTTTATAAGAATATCAAAATAATCCCCCGACTCTTTAAATTGACGCTAAAATAGTCCTTATGGAGGATTATTAGGACTAAATTTTAAAATAATCAATATTATTTTGACATTTCTATAAACTCTAGGATTACAATGGCCTCATGTAAATAGTCCAGAGTTATTTTGGCTTTTGAATTGATTCGACAACTTATCATTTTTTTCTTTAAGAAAAAATATTAAATAAAATATTTATAAAATAATGAAGTCTTTCAATTATTTATTTATTTATTTATTGTGTAAATGCTTCTACATGTCTCAACCACAACTGGCCCAACCTGCCCGCCCGAAACGCACAGCATAGCAATTTTTTTCATATTAATAACATTTCAACTATAAAAGAGATTGGGGATTAATTATAATGGAGAATAAGATCTTCGGCAATTAGTTAACCATGAATAGTCAATTATATGATTTTTATACGGATGAATTAATGTATCTTATACAGCAAATGGACAAATTCAACAAAATAATTCTTGATCTAAGAGAATTTTGATGTGAAATTTGAAGAAGAAGAAGACTAAGACATCCTCCTCCGAAGCTCCTTGTCAAAGCCATACAAGCACATTGTCAACACAATGATGAATGAGAAATAAATACTAATTTTGAAACACAAGCTACAGTGTATATAGCCTTTAAGAAGCCATGAATGGTAGTCCCCTCCACAAGAACTATGTTGCAGAAATTAAGAAATTTCAAACCTGTTCATTCAGAGCATCTGTATATCGTCAAGATTATTGTTGACGATGAGCTTATTCGTATTAATATGGTCACAATGTATTTGTAGAGGATGATCAGCAACCTGAAGCTCAGTTTATTTTTTTTTATTTTATTTTTTTTTTTTTTGTGCAGAGAACCTCAGCCACACAGAAGGCAAAAAGACGATATTCTGCACCTATAGACTTCCGAACAATAGTTTTTTGTTTCTTCGAGCATCAGAGAGTTGCATTCCCTACTAAACAGGAGACATTATAGACCGCCAACATCGACAACAATGAGTCTTTATCCCACTAATGGGCTCGGCTGCATGAAACATTTTTCTCCTTTGTGTCCTATTGAGTGTCATTTTCATTTAATTCTAATAAAATAAGATTAATTTTTATGCAGCATGCACAAGTCTATTTAGGTCTACTTCTACCTTTTCTCTCCTAACCGGAACATCAGGTGATCCACATTTAATGTGACCAAATCATGAAAGGCGGCTCTCTGTAATCTTGCCTACCACTGGAGTTACACCAACCCTTCCACGGATACATTCGTTTCGCATTTTGTCTAAGTGCATGCCACTCATCCTCCTATGCATTCTCATCTCTGCAACACTTTTAGTTTTATGCTTCTCTTTTAAGTGTCAAGACATTATAGGCCAAGATGAACATAAAATCATCCTCGCCTATAATGAGAGAGGAACCTGCTTTTCTCATAATTTCGCTTTGCATCCTTTAAATGAGTTAAAAATAAAACAAGATTAATTTCTGAATCATATTTTCTATCAAAGAATAATAAAAAGAGCCCAAAGAGGAGGAAGGAGAAGAATTATACCAATTCCTCACCCACCACATGGACCTCTAACACTGTCATTAAAACAAGCTTGCAAAACAAGAAAAAAAATCACGAATTAGTACAGCCAGCGCATATAGAAACCAATTTAAGAAAGATATAATTCTTAAATAATGGCAAAAGACAGATAAACAAACACTAATACAACTCAGTTTCGTGATGAAACAAGCCATTCCATCATATAGCAGCCTATAAGACCAGAAAAATAATTAATCATGCTAAGAAGACACTTTCGACCAAATATTCAGGTGAGAAGGCATGGAGGGAGGAGAATTACAACACTGGAATATTATAAACATCAAATTAATAATAATAATAATAATAATAATAATAATAATAAATAAAATATACAAAAATATAAAGGATATGATGGCCTGAAAGCATTATGCCAATATTATCCCCACCCACTGGCATACAAGGATGGTTGATGTGTAGCTGTGATAGGAGAGCGCACGCAGCTTTGCGTACGCTCTCCGTACATAACAATTTTTCCAACATGAGGCATAGCTTTGTTCTTCGACCACTTGTGAGCTATTTGGTGAAGGTTTTTAAAAGGACTTATCATCAGATTTATTAAATACAATAAAAAAACAAGATGTTAAGTTTGTTGGATTTACTAATTTAAAGATTTACTAAATCCAAGTTTACCTGAGATTCGGCCTAAATCCTGTAATTCGGTGGATTCATGTATATACCCATTTACTAAGGGTGTTTGGGGCAGCTTATCAAGTACGGCGGCATTTTGAAAACACCGCATTGTCGTTTGATTAGTACGTTCGGAGAGCTTATCCTAAAACACAGTTTAACAATCTTTAATAGACAGGGCCGCAGGTTTTCTAAGTGTGTTCGTGCTTTAAATTATATTAGTGTTAAATCCTACTTGCAGCCAAACAGGCCCTAAGACAAGTATTAGAACTAGTGAAAGAGGAAGCTAGAGAAGTGCAGAAACTGGCTCCATGGCTTCAGGGGCACCAGATAAAGGCCTTTCCTTTTTAGTTTGGTCGAAGCAAAGATCACGACTTGCAGCTAAAGCCAATAGCTCTTTCTCCTCCAACCCCTTGGCTGGCCCAAGGCCAGACCTATCTGTGTTGTGCTTGGCCAATGCATCCTTAAATTTCTTAATCTGCAAATCAGAATACATTTCACAATCAAACATCAAAATTGAATCAACATTTAGCAACAATATTCGCTAGCTACAGGTTAGAAGAAACCAAAACAAACAACAGATTTTTCTCAACCAAGAGATCTCTTAAAACATAGACCATGTATATAGATATAATCTGCTTTCTGTAAACAAATTAAAAGGAACTCCAAAAGTAAAAAAGGGTGAAAAGCTTACAGTAGCATTGGTGCAGCTGAAGCTACAAAGACGACCGTGAGCTCCCCTGTAAAATCTAAAGAAGGGGAGGACATGAACGTTCAAGCTATAACACATGGATTTATGCTTCTCATAATTTACTGGAAGGAAGAGAATATGAGGGTTCTGCCCAGCAAACTGACAAATCTGAAAAAAGAAGTTCTTTTAACTAACATAAAAGCTGATAGAAACCGCAAAACAAAATTGCAGGGAACAAAATATCTTAATAAGCAAGAGGGCAAGTTTTGCAGACAATAATTTACCTTTGGATGAAGGGATTTGCAGCCTGCACAACCGGGGGAGAAGAAATCCACAATAACAAGCTTGTCCCCTGCGTGCATCAAGGAATCTACAAGATCCTGAGCAGAAATAATCTCCTTCATGTTAGGCTGCAACCCCTTCTCCCACCATCTCATTCCTTTCGCAATCAAATGATCCATCTGCGAATTATCCAAATTGCACCAATTCCAAATCAGAATCCTCAAATTTGGACCAGCTCCAGCCAAGAAACACAATATCCAAAACAATTTTCTAACTTTCAATCCCCAAAAACGGAATCAAAGAAATCTCCAACGACAATTAAAAAGCCGAGAGCGAAAGAATTTCGAGATTTTTCAACATACCTTCACAGGCACGGCATGAAAATCTCTCTTCGCGGCCTTCCCTTTCTGTCGCTCGACAACTAATCTCCTCCCAAGAAAACCATTTTTACTTGAAGAAGAAGATCTCACAAATCCAATCGATGAGCAGAAGAGATTAGTGGACAAGGGTTTCGTCATGTCGGAAGAAATTGATGAAGGACGGCACCTGCAAGAGGAGAAGACACTCACCGTACTCATTACATCCGCCATAAATTCCCAAAATCGAAGCTTTTACAGCCCAGGAGAAGGAAATACGCACAATTGGCACAAAGATAGAGTTTTGCTTTTGGCCTGTGGCCGCCCTTGTGGTACACAATGAAAAAGGTGAAATCGGGACGACGAATCAATAAAGCGGCGAAACGAAACCCCCACCTTGCCATTTATGAGATAAAAAATTTTGCAGTTTGGCCTGTTCGCACTTTTTTCATCATTATCGTACCCGTCTATATTTTTCCGTTATTCACGCTTCGGAGGCATGGATTCTGGAGTATATGCCTGTAAGTAAGCCAAGCTACCCGAGCTCAGCCTACAAGTGGCTCGTTAGCTTGTTGACCTAACAAATCAAGCTTAAACTAGCACAACTATACTCGTTCGTTCTTGAGGGGGTTTATTTAAAAAATATTAATATAAAATATATCCAAAATATATTAAATTTAATGAATATTTTTAAAATAGTAAAAATATTTTTAAAAAATAATGTTTTATATTTTATATCAAGTGATTCATTATTGAAGAGCATTGAAAGAAGTTGGAGGAGGGCAAAGAAGAGCAGGGAATCACATAAAGTAAATTTGGAAACTTTTCTTTAGTTTTCTATAAAGCCTTTAGGCTCATCTATGTGTGTGTATAAAGAGTAACAGTATGAGTGTAGAGTGGATGGTTGTGATTGAGTGGTTATCATTCGATGCAGATTTCTCCTATATCAGGCCAGCAGTAGAGTTGGAGCCTACTGCACATGGTTGGGAAGTGGAGCAGGGTTCGTAAGTGGAAGAGTCGGCTTGCAGTTGAGTTGTTAAAATCTGGAGTTGGCCTTGATAAAGATGTCTGCTAGCTGATCTTCGGTTGTTATATGGTGAACGGTGATGCGTTTTTGGTTGATGCAGTCTCGTATGAAATGACACTCAACCTCGTTATGCTTTGTTCTGGTGTAAAAAATTGGATTATTTGCTAGAGCAATGACAGGTGTGTTATCACAATAGAGGATTGTCATTTGTAGTCAAGGAGTGTGAAAGATGGTTAGTAGTTGTCAGAGCCAGATGACATCCGCACCTGCTGAGGTGAGTTCCACAACCCATTTGAGTAGTCTACCAGAGTGTCGGTTTGGTGAGGACATACTTTAGTAAGTGGTCGGTGATGAATTATTCTGTATGTACTTAGAAATACAGTCAGAGTATTCGTATAGAGATGACCAAGGCGAAGGTCAGTTTCTCCATTAGGGCATAGGAGTTCGACACCTTTGAGGACCCGATTGTTATAGTACACTGAATGTTATTTTTTCGAGTTCTTGAAGCCCCAACTGGGGCCCTTTTTTATCGTTTTGATTGCATAAGGAACCAATATTTTCAAATCAGATGCTAATATTTAAATTATTATTAATTAAACCTTAATATAAACAATTAATCAAATGATGAGGGATTAACCACCTTACCATTTCTTTAAAAAGTTTTGCCACCATTAATGGACCAACCATATATTTTAAATAATGTTATGATGGAAGTTTTCATATTCTTTTTATGTTATTGAAAATATTTTCTAATGTATTTACATATCTAGCGCTTGATTTTTTTTATCTAGCACTATATTTATAGCATTTTAGTGCTATAAATCTATGGAAGAAAATGTGCATTTAAATTTTAAAATAATGACAATGATATTCTTAATAAAATGTTAAAATTTTGATTGTTATGCATATAAATATAAAAATTTAGGTGTCCCATAGTTAAATATATAAGATTTTTGTGGTATACATATAAATGTCCCCAAAAAAATTCAAATTTAAATGAGAAATCACTCTATCTCAAGGGAAAACTTTTCCGCCTGAAATCTGTACATTCGGACTGTCAACCACCGACCGTCACGTCACCCACTGATGTTGTGTATAACTTTACGGCCGATAATTTGCCGTTGTAATATCCAGACAAAATATTTTCTCTTGCTACTTCTCACTCCTCGGAAGGTGGGGCCCTGAGAAACAAACCTAGGGCCACGGTTTTAGAAAGAGGTGGTGAGGTGGCAAGTGAGAAGAAATAAAAGTAAAAAATACCTTCAGCAGAATTTTTCTAAAAGCCGACCTCGGCTCGGATCGGCTCGTCGGCTCCGGAAAGCCAAACCAATTAAAAGTTGCGTTACGCAGTCATCTCTCTAACCCTAATAAGCAATTGAGTGATAATGCTACTTTTTGTCTTCATTAATGATTATTAGTGAAAATCATAGTCATCCCTTGTTTATTTTCATCATTAGTATTAATTCTATAAATTATTAAGTACGGAAATATTTGCATATGCTAAATTTATTGAGTTAAAATTAGTCGTAAGATTAGTTGTTGCTCGGAATCAATTATATATTATTAGGGATGCTTTTATTTTTTTTTAAAAAAATAGCTATTTAATATTTAGTTTTATAAAATAAATCTCGTTAATTTGTAAGGTAATATAATAATTAAATTTTTTTTTAAATTATTCTAAAAATAATTATCAACAAACACTATTAGTGTCACTGACCACCGCCATAGTTATAATCTCACCAACAGTCATAATTAAAAGAAAGTTTGTGCTTAAGCTAATGAGTTAAGAGTGGTTTGATGAATATTGATTCAACAATAAGGAGGATATCCTAGAAAATGATCATATATTATTATTATAAAGAATATAGATTTTTACTAAAAAATATTTGTTGTGTATTCTAAAATTTACGTGATATAGTAATTTAAATAAATTTAACAAAATATATTAGTGAATAATTGTAATACTTTTGACATGCAATATACTAATTTATGAGTTTTAATATTAGTCAATAATAATATATTAATAAATCAAATAAAAAATATTAAGATTAAGAGTAAGGCTTTGTTTGGGAAGACGATAAAGTTTCATTCCTTGTTGTGAATGTCAACACTTGAAAAAACTTAAGTTTGTTGAAGCAGCGTTTCCCGAACGTCTCATGAAATTTTTTCGCAAGAACGACAATTTTTCACTCCTTTAGATTGAAACCGGACTTTTCCATTCAACGAACACGACGTTTAAGAAATTTTACTGAACCGCAAAAGCTCTTTCAAATAAGGCGTAAAAGAAAGATAATTATGAATATCACTAATAATTGCCAAAAATGATGCAAAGAGTGCGGGAGACATTCATGTTGCTTAAAGGCCTAATCCTTTCATTAATTAGCATTAAAAAAACTGTTTAAAGTAACTTATTTAAGTTGGCATTGTGAAGCCGATAAGCCGAGCCGATGTGCAGCTTAAAGGAATATTCTGTGGAGCCGACTAGCCGAGCCGATTTACTCCCCAAGCGTGGATCGGTCCAAAAGTCAGAAAGAATAAAAAGTGGTGAAATGTTTTAAAATAATATATAAATAAATTATAATAATTGATAAAATATTAAGATAAATTGTGGAAATCGCATGAATCTTGAGGCAGACAAGAATATTAGGATAATTTTTTTAGGAAAAAAAAATCAAATTCTAACTAAAATTTATTTAGAATTATGATTTAGCAAGTTTATAATCAAACTGACTGATTGGATGAGATGATCTTGATGACACCAAAGTTGGACCTATTTGAGTCAAAGTTAGCCTAGTTCAATCCGTTAAACCGACTTCAAAAGCTTTCGAGGTCTAATTGGGATGTCAAATAAATTCTAAATTAGACAAGCTTATAATCAAATCGAGTGTCTCGATAAGTCACATCTAACGAGCTCATGATAGCTCAATTCCAATATTATTATGACACTCAAATGTTCATATAATGTAGTCTGATCAAAAGAACCTCTCCAACCTGTCTTTTATAGTGGTCCAAATTCCTTATTTATTTGCAAAAAGGCCTTTCTTAGACTCTATAAAAAGACTCATATCACTTTCATAAAAGGGGCTCAAAGAACTTGAACCAGGGAATGATCAGATCTTAGAGGAGAAAGAGTTGAATCTCCATGTTCTACACTCAAGGTCTAATGAACGTTGTCATCTCTGGCAGTCGCCGACCACCATTTGCCAACTACCATCGGCCACAATCTACTCCTTGTGGAGAAATCCCTTATGAAATCACAGCATTTGTTGTGAAATCCTAAAATAAGTTGCAGAACAATGAAGCACCAAACAAAGTAGTACGTCGTTTAATACACCGTGCAACAATACACTCTAAAGAAGGTGTAACAACACACCCCAAATACAGTACAATAATGTGTCGCGCAAACGGTGCAACGACGCACTCTGAAAGGGTATGGCAACACAGTCCAAAGATGATGTAAGAACACACATTGAATACGGTGAAAAGGCACACCCCACAAAGCCGCTTAGAACTGTATTATTCATAATATAATGAATTTCTTCGAACACCTAAAGCTCTCTCTTTGCAGCTCATCACTGCAACCTACGTGATCAAATACAAGCAACATGACCTATAGCTCGAGCAGCTCTCAACTCTAGCATTTGCAGCCTACGAACACTATCTCAGCTAATGAAGCTCCCCTCCACCCTACGGATGTTAATACAGTTCATGCAACTCCCAACTCAGGACTCTGCGACCTACATATATTATCACAGCTCATGCAACTTCCAACTCAAATTGTTGTGAAACGAAGGTTATCATAGTTCATGCATCTTCAAACTGAACCATTTGCAGCCTAGAAATGTTATTACATTTTCCCCCTATGGCCTACGCGGTCCTCAGCTCATTCGACTCCCAAATCTGGCATCTGAGACCTTCAGAGTCTATCATCGCTCACCACTACCACCTATGTGATCAACTATGACCTATGTGGCTCACAGCTCCTACAACTTGACGTGTAAAGAAAAATTGCTTATTTATGCTTTATTTTCAATTAATTTTATATTAAGTTTAAATGTTTTGGAAGTTATTCTTGTTTTGTTTTGCAGGATTCAGGAAAGGTGAGTCATCGGAGCTGAAGAAAACCCTGAAAAATAACTAAGAGCTGGAGTAGAAAGGCATTATAATGTAAAAAAGTAAGCTCCACCAACATTTAGGCATCAGGATGTAGAAAGTAGGCATCACCAACACCTAGACGCCAAAAAGGAAGGCCTAGACGCCCGAAACAAATCATTCCAAGCAAAAGCCCAAGAGGTTGGAAAGTAGGCAGCGCAACTATAATGCCTATGCTCCAGTGACCAGCGCCTATGCGACAGTGATCAGTGCTTAGGCACCAGTGAATAGCACCTAGGCACCACAGGCTAACACTTAGGCTACAGTTTATTCGATTTGATGGTTTTCTGCAATT